AATCATCAAGCCTAGGTGTTTGATCAACAGTTTTCGGATTCAAAAATAAGTCTATTTTATTCAAGCTCACAATAGCATATGCATAAAACACTGGATTATAAAGTATATCATTTCCACGTAAATTGAATAACCATGCAATCTCATCCAATGCAGATAAAACCAGTAATTCAGCCCCTTTTGCTTTCATCATATTTCTAACACGATCAATTTTTTGCTGCCAACTTGAACCAGAAAATGAGACTGGAATAAATAACAGTGGATTTGATGAACGAATAGGACGAGAAACATTTTCAATTTGTAATTCAGACATAGACTCCCAAACTAGATCAATCAAATTTGTGTTTGGTATATTAACTAACTGTCGACTGAGAGGATTTTTAATTCCGTTACAATTTGGTAGAATACCTAATTCAGCTTCAACACCAGCCAATTCTTTTTGTAATGTTTCGATTCCCGTATAAGGTATTTGTCTACCATCATATCCAATAGACGAACCAGGTGAAGTTGACGAAACAATCCATTGGGCTCTTGTAGGCGCTTCAGTTAAGTCATTTCTAAATAATGACCAATTTTCGTCTAGTTCATTGGAAGCCTATATAAACGAAAAAGCAGTTGAGATTTATTGGATAACGTTAGACAATATTATCTCTTACAAGTAAATTATTTATTTATTTGAACACATATATATTGGTACAGGAGTGCGCCAAATGTATATGCGCCACACATACAAGTAATAGTAACTTATGTATTGAATATATACTTCAGTAATTTACCTCATGAGCGCTGAACTAAGTTTATAACTTGGGCATTAATTTAATTAATAAAAAATTATCTACATTTGTACGAAAACATTATGTTACCCGAGTGCTCAAAAACGCAGTGGGTAGAACAGTCCGAGCTTTCAACACTGTTAATAAAGGTTAAATTCTTGAACTACTGAGCCAATACCTTACTTAGAAAACAGTCCTATAATATGTTGTTACACTGATATGAAGGAAATCAAACCGTTATTGAAGAACTGACAATTATTAGTGTTCTTGAGCTTACACAAAAACCCGACGTTACGTTATTACTCCATCCTGAAAAAATAGTGTACTAATTGTATTAATTCCTTTATTTTTAAAGATATTAACATTATCAGGTTGATCGATAACTAAATATCCATGAACGAAGTAAGTCTGACTTGCTTTAGAGATGTTACGGACGTAAATACAGCAATCTCAGTCAGTCAGCTACAACGTAGGACCAGGCACATATATGCATCGGTCCAAGTTGCAGCAATCTATAGACTATTCGACCATGTGACCGCAAGTTCCGATTGATAATAAGTTTTTAGTATATTTAGCCATCATTTAATAAAAATTTGATCAAAACAAGTATGGATATGAGCTTATAAATGACTTTACCTGCAATTCATTTGCCAAAATGGGATCATTTTAACCGGAGTATGCAACGCTAATTCATTTATCTAGAAAGTCTCATCAGATTTAGTGAGTTAATCACTGATAAGTTCTCAGCAACAACTCAAAAGTCCCACTTGATTCTATCAATTTACATCACCGGTGGCGTAGACAAGATATCTATCTCTGTCACAAGAAGATGTGTATACTGAACAGAATTCTACTCTGTTCTAATCTATGGCTGTGTATCGTGGGTTCTGAAGGCAGACAACAATGGTCGACTACTAGTATTTGATCGTAGATCAGTTAGTCAGTGGTCTTGCGTGCTGTTAGAGGTATGAGGGCGGTTCTTAATTCCCGGATGTCCACACCAAGGAAGAGTTCTTCTAGTGGTAACTGAAAAGGAATTCGGGTTAGAGATGACGTTAATGACCTGAGAGCGTGACAGAAGTGCCCAAGGGACAACTGCTTGGGACCGGCCACATACGACCTTTATGTGGGTTATTTTTGTGTTAGCTCCGTACTTGTTAAGAGACGGAAATCCGTGAGATAAGGCCATATGTGTATTTGTAGGATCGACATTTTGTAACCACATCGTTCCCCTTTGAGAAGGTAGCATCGCTGTTATGCTGGATGTCTGAAGGAAACACTTTACTACCGTCACCATTCGGTACAGTCAGCAGTGTGATTCCGCTCTTGGGCCTTGAGTTTGCTTCTTTTAGTCTTACCGCTCTTCAACATACCTGTCCGGCATAGTAGGACCTTGAGGAACGATCGCTTTAGCCTGTATAGCCCGACAAGCGAGCCCGATCACCACGTTACGGTAGCAGTGACGGCTGGGTTGACCAAAGGTGTTGTCGAGTCATCAGTCTTGTTAAGAGCAGCTAGTGAGCAATGCTAAGGTTAGTTGCAGTGTACGGAGTAATGACGATAAAGTGGTTGGTGAGTCAAAGTTTCTATATCAACTGAAACAGTGGGGAAATAGATTACTTTTACCCAAAACCAACTAATATGATGCGGTGTTAGCTGGTGCAGTAAGTTTAAAGCCACATGCGACTGAGCCAAAACGAGACCTCAGTTTGACTGGTCATTGGACTTTGGTGAGCCTAGCAGATAGATGCAAACTACCTGATTGTGATCCGCGCGGTGAAGATGTCAGGTAACATGGCTGACAATCGGTTACAACAGCTCAGACGCACTTTATTTACTCCAAGATCAAAATTACTCTGAATACTTTATTTCACGGATTATATCCTCCTAATGTGATTGCAATGTATATGCCTAAGCTTCCCCCCAGTAAATTTTACTACTACTTTGGTACGAGTCTTGGTAATTTCATCAATATATGAGGAGGAGGTATGGCAAATCGAGTCGACGTGTGTTCTATGTTGCTTTTCACAGACAGAACGACTGACAAAAGGTATTTAAGGACTCCAACTTTGATTGGGTTGTCAACCTTCTGAAGTATTAAATATACAGCTTCAGACAAAGTTGTTCGCTCGGCTAAATAATCAAGATAACTGGGGAATAGTAACACATACCTAACAGTTTTGAAACTTTGTGTTATGAGTGAGACAGAAATAGGATAAGGAGAACTTCAGAGGCAAAAGCAATATTTTCTACTTGAGAATTCATATTGTCTGTACATTGAGAAGTATTAGATACTAGTCCAACAAAATTTGGTGATTTTAGCTATTGTCTAAAATAATTTGATGGTATGTAAACTGATCCCCAAAAACATTTGCACGGCTTATGAGACATATTTCTGAAAGAATGACTCGTGGGTAAATGTTTTTAAAAGCATAAAGTGTTGGAGCAGAGCTGACTATTCAAATAACTTCTGTTCGTTTAGAAATTTCAACTGTGAAACGGTATGCGTATTAGCAAACTGTATATATACGATACCATGAGATCTAGAAACAAACTATATCCAGTTGACTATTCACTACAAATTTTTGAAACTCAGGATGTATATACGACTGAAGCCTACTAAATGCTAAAAATAACGACATCTTAAAGTGCCTAAGTGAAGTAATCGGATAACAATGGACAACAGAAAAAAGCTTTAGGCTCTCAATTTCTTCCATAAGAGTCATAATCCTACCTTGTGAAGTGATTTTATCAAAATTAGGACTGAAATATGGGAAAATCAAGGAGGATTACCATATTTCAGATAAATTACCACCTAACGAATTCTGATCTTACTTGAAGTTAACTAGTAAATAACTACAAAAATGTCGACATAGTTGTACTGCTTCGAAATTGTGATTAAAATACTTATTTTTCTAGGAGAAAACCACCTGTAGCTGATATCGACCATCAGTCCATAAAGCAGCTTGATCTAAAGTGATAACAATAGAGCAGGAAGAACCTGTAAATCCAGAGATGAATGCACAACGCCTATCTGCATTGCCCACATACTCATTAAAATGTTCGTCTTCTGTTGGCAGTATATATCCTTGCAAATTTCTATCTTTCAATAAATCGCGAAGACGTGTCAGACGTCCCGAGCTAAATATTCTCTTCATTTTACACCTACAAGATATTACATAAGTTAAGATGAATTTTTATTGCTCGTTGTCAGATATAATCTTACTGAAACAAAGCGGAAAAGTGTTTGTAACAATAGAAAAATAATAATAATACACAATTTTCTGATACATGTATGCATATGTTTCAAATATTAGCAGTTTAAATCATGAAGCTAACGGTATTTCAACCAAACCTTAAACTAAGTCCTCTACATTAAAACACCACATTTCAAAGTCATAATTTAGTACGGAATATACAGTTAGGCAGCACAATTTTTTCTGATAGGTGAATGCAAAACAGTCAATACCAAATTTTAACTCTAAAACTCCAAAGCTGTTTTGATACGAAAATAATCTAGACATTGAGTCAGAAAATTTCAGATTCCATGTGAACATATCACTACTTTTGGACTACGGTTATGGAAAATTTAGACCTACAATATTCAGGATAAAAGCTTTTCAGCAAATAATTTGCTCAAGGGACTACTCACTGAAAACAACAAGGGCATTTTGTCCCTATTTCTAATCATGATATGGTCTCTGTGTATAAGGGAAAGGTGCCTTTACCCAGTTTTTAATACGACTGGTGATTCGGACATCCAAGTCAACACTCTCTAACGAGGAAGATAACTACCTAGCTAAAAGAGAAGATATAACTTATAAGTCTAACTATTTTTATTTCTTATAAAGTTAGATGACTAGAGAGTATAGCAGGGAAATTTATTTCTGAATAGGAACAACATCCTGTCGACAAATATTTAAATGTGAGAACCACTTATACCAACCAGTGATGTATTTTTCGTCAAATATCTCGTAAAGACAGACATATGAAATAATAAAAACAATTTTTAACCTTTTGATTATGAATAGGTCATTCTAAGCTCACATAAAATGGGTTTATTTGTTCAAAATAGTATATTTTTATTCGTAAAATATAATCTATGTACAAAAAGTGTTACAAAAAATGAGATACCAAGAAAAGACAATACCAAGGTTCTGGAGTGACACAATATTAAAACGTTTATTACATTAGAAAGTGTAATCCAAAGATATACTCGTAAATTAGGCATCATGTGAAGTACGATGGTAATTGAGAAGAAAACTTTGAAGGAATTTTTACATACAACTGCTTTTTACGATCATACACAGCATCTCGTCCCAAGTAACCGTATTCGATAGCTAAATAAGTTTTTAAGTCATGCGGAGCTAGTAAGTTTACACCTTCGAATGTACATGGTATTAAAGGAAAGAAAGAATTATATGGGAATAATTTCTTTTTGCAGTCATATATACCGGGCAAATTCCAGTTTACAAGCAAAGGCTTTATGTCATCGGAGGAATCTGGATAAGTAGATAGAGTGAACAAATCCACATGTACTAATGATGGATCCGATTGTATATGACTTACAATTTTTGAGTTTAAATGATATAATTCACAGGCTTTAAGTAAACCATTAGTGCTGAAAAAGAACTTAATGCGTTTGCAATCACATCCATTGTATGGTATCTCTTCAATGGTTTCAGAAATATTGAATTTCTGCGCTTTAAGCCAAAAACGTCTACTGATACTGGCCGAAAAATCGACATATAAATCAGAATTGACACTGATTAGTAAAGATTCATCCATATTTTCCACACCGAAAACACTTATACCATTTTTTAAACAGCTGTGAATCAATTTAGTGTACGAACTGTTTCCATTAGAATCAAATTCTAAAATGCCCAAGTCAATGTCTGTATCATGTGATATGAATTTTCCATCTTCACGGAATACAGATAAAGCTGTGCCACCATAAACAAATGGCTCCAAACCAGCAGCTTTGCATAAATCCAATACAGATTTTAGTAAGTGAACTCTTAATGGTTTCAGACGCCGACTCTGACGCATAATACGCCGAACATTTCTTAAAGAACACGTCCCGAACATATTGAAACTTATATGGGATTCAGAATTTGAGGCGATATTACCTGATTCCACGTCAGAGATATAGGAATGAAAGAAGGGGAATTCATGTAAATCTACAACTTCATTTGATTCACACTGAGCCATGAAGCTGTTATAAATATCAACCTAGAAACAAAAAACACAAAATTAATTGGAACCCACATTTTTGAATGTCAGTAAAGTATTTCTGTTAGCCTGAAGGATCATTATTACAGATTTCATTAACGTTATCAGAGTCATTTGGAAGAATTTTTCCTATTGCACAGTGAGTTTTGAATGAAGAAAAATTCAAGAACGAAAACCAGTTAATTTTTACTATAAATTAGTTTTGGAATACTCCGGAAAACACTACTTAAAATATATTCGATACTTCAACAAACTGCTGAGCTATAACTTGAACACATAACTCCACAACTAATAGGCATTAAGTCACGCAGAAGCACAAGGCTCGTTTAATTTGTTTAGTATGGGTGGGTCGCAATCAATAGCTCTGACAATCAGCTCAGCTCAGCTAAAAAACAAGTACATAAACATCAACTCTGCATCTAGTTACTCAGCTTTAACTCCATCAAATTATCAGACATCTATGTTGGTGAAGGTAAAGACCGTTCATTAATCCCTTCCAAATGCAGAAAATCAGAAATCTAACCGTTATCTAAGTATAATTGGTCTTGCGATACAAAAATATAATCCCCGCTGTTTTAGCTTGTGCAGTTAGAAAGCACACAAACTGATTAGCTGAAACGATAAAAAATTATGTTACAAAATCAACTTGGTGCCAACAATATTGTCCAGAACTAGAGATGTGAAAAACATACAAGCCTGTAATTTGAAGTTGACAATATTTCAAATAAGATATACCGTTGCTCGTTGAACTTTTTAGGCTTTAAAATGACTTTCACATACCTAGTCGCTTTCTCGACAACTTACGCAAAACAATGACAACATATTTTCAGACTTAATCAGCTTGATATCATAGTGAGTTATTCGTGTACCACAATCGAATTAGTGGCACAAAAAGGACAATTAATGTTGAGGGATCAAAAGTAATCCATAGATGTCACCTTCACCGACTTCATAAAAGCATTTAACAATGCTCCTGATACGAGATTATATAAGTTTAGCAATATTGAGACCACAATACATTTGATTCAGTGAATAAACGACATTTTAGTTTTATTCAAACAGTAAGGGGTAACTTCCAGTTGTTTGGGTGAAAAACAGTTGATAATCGAGTTTTACAAGATACAGTTCCAGTAGTGATTTTCCTAGCTTTCTGTTCTGTTATATACCAACAATGTGGAAATATGGATAGTGACAAACAACGAAGGGGATAGAGTGGATTTACACAAAAGATCTTTCAAAATCAGCAGATTTATTTTGTATTTGATGATAAATACCTCGAAGTGTATTATGACGCATGCAGCACACCAAGGTACAAGTAAGTACATGGAGAATAGAGATGCGTTACTTGTTCAAACAGTAATTAAGGAGTCAGTATCAGTGAGAACTTATATATCACTCACACTTCTATGCAACAGCTAAAAGCTTGGGAACTGTTTTTCAATACGTGAAGATTTCAGTCAAGTAATCTTAGGGAATTCATGACATTGGATAGTGTTTGGCTGACCAGAACTCGAAAAGAGCATACAAGCAGTTAACCATCAAAATAGCAGTGGGCCGTAAGAATGGTTTCGAAGAACCATAATTAGATTGATTCATGGAATCTAAAAGCAAACAAATGACGACAGAGAAAATAAAACTTTCCACTCCCCGCCATACAGAAAAAACACGGATGATCTGGTCAGCCTTTGAACCGACTAAAAGTTTTTCGCCTGCAACAGACTCCTTTATCTTTTAGAATCCATGAAAGCATTGAAAAATGTCTACATAAAATAACCAAACAGCTGTCAGTTGACGCTCGGATTTCTTATTAATTCACCCTCAAGTGAGTCTCATTACTTTAAAAGTGGTTCTATTGGTATTCTCGACACATTTCAAAAAGAAAGTCGGATGAAATTAAAATTCCACATCGCCAACACTAATATAGGCTTTCTAGACTTCCACGCTTCCTTAATGGGGTCTGTAATAAGCACAAATACTATTTGTCATACGCCCTATTGTAAGCGCGATTCCCCAGAACTTAGGCCACTGTTACCTCGACCTTCAGCAGACTTGACCTCACGTACTTGTGCAGACAAACAACACCAAAAAATGTAAAATGGCATAAAACAAAGGCAATGTTGCGGAATATTTTACATTCATAGTCAATAACGCGTTTTTTTAGAATGACCATTGGCCTTTAAATCGTGATCACAGTCTTCGGTGATAAGGATTGTAGGTCGTCCGGCCTGAGTTTATCCTCGTAGCTGAGTTTCCCTATGAGGACCCTAATTCTCCTTGAAATCGTTCACTGATTGGGGTGATAGTAAAGTTTTTAATCTTTACTTTTAACAAACAAGTGAATAACATTCATTCACTGAATATCAAGTATTGATAACATAAACATTCAAATGCAAACATGTTCACTTACCGCCACACTGTAAAATTATCATGTGGTCTACATCTTACTGATTCGTGTTATCCCACCCACAAAAGTAGACGTCTGACTATCATTGTATAGGCATTTAGCGTAAATTTGACCTAACTGTTCGACATTGAATTTTACTGTGATAGTTTCGGTCTTAATTATTAATGTGAAGAAGTTCAGACAATATAGTATCCAAAATATCGGATTTATTTTGATTTTACTCACTAATATTATTTCAAACATAATATTTGTGAATATTATATGTTATCCTAATTTTTTGTTTTCGTCTGTTGCTCGGAAAAGCAAATAATTTTCGAATTTGCGATACATTCTGCGATTCCTCGCTGATTAATAGTTGACAACAGGCTGACATCCACCTAATGTTTTGAGCTCCACACAACTGTTGTGTGGCTCGTTGAAATCCCGTTTTGTTTGACGATAATCGGCGTTAATACACATACACAGATGACTAGGTACAAAGTAATGAGTATGACAGTGTGAACCACAACAAATTCCTTCTATTGTCGCCGACTGGTTTTCTGTGTTCAATCATACAACAAGCAACCTCGGCTGCAATTAAACGCAACTCAATTTCGTAAATGTGCCATTAAGCTTAGCAACCAATCAGAATGAGGCGGGAATTATTACATCCGCCATCTTTGTAAGCAATGGTGGTCGGCTTTCTTCGTTCTGTGCTTCTTTCAGCTAATTCTTTTGTGTAGCTATGTAATTTAATGTCTCAGTATGCTAAAATGCCGCATTTAGTGTAATGTTCTATATGTTTGTGTGAAGTTTATTTCGAATCAGCGATGTTTTCTGGGTTTTTGCTGCTTCTACTCAAGTCAATGTATTTCTTCGGGCAATCTGGCTAGTCTTGTGTTATAAAATGTCGGCCGCCTTTCTTCGTTCTCTGTTTTTTCCGCTATTTCTTTTGTGTAGCTACAGAACTTGATGTTTCAGTGTGCTAAAATCCAGAAGTTAGTGTAATACTCTGAACGTTGGAGCAAAGTTTTTCCTGATTTTGCTTTGTTTTCTGGGTTTTACCTGCTGCTAATGAAGTCACTGTATTTATTCAGCTAAGCTGGCTAGTACTAACATAAGACCTTACGTTTTCAAACGACAATCGGTTATGTTTTACATTGTTTTCTAGATATCCGAAGCCGACGTTCGTTTTTGTTTAGCTAAAATAATTGTTGCTGCCGCCTGTGACTCTAACTGTTTGCATGTTCGTTCCTAGCTGTCCTTTAGGATGTTATCGGCAAAATGAAAGGAAACAATCTGCGTTTTTTAATTTTCAGTTTTATGGACAACACTATCCCACCAACGAGTCAAACTAATACAGAGTGCCCATCAGTAGGGTATATCGGTATTGATTTCGAAAGGACGCAGACTTCCGACAACTATAGATGAAGTCATAGATGCTACCAAACTATTGCAGAGGGTTTGTTATGAAGAATATGCCATATTAGCAGCAATAGAGGGGTTGCACTCATTACTCAGTGCGTTAAAGCAAGCTTAACATTGAAAAGCCGGAAATCTGCTACCAGCGTGTAGTGTGTGGCAAGCCCACTTGGCCACTGTATCATTTTGTGGTGCGTGCTACTTATATTGATATAAGTAGTATATAACGTGAGTCAAAAGAACGTAATGGCTGGCAGCAGAAGATGGAGAAGATCAAGAAAAGAAGAGCGAGAAAGCAATGGAATTTGTAAGAAATCGCATGAGCAATGAAATGCGAGACAATGGATTGATGTTTGCAACAGCAACAGCCCGGTTTGATATGATAGAATGATATTTTGCAAATTAACGATTTACTATATGGTTTTTCTATTTTACCAAGTAATTCTGTAATTTGTCCTAAATACAATTTGGCTGTCCTCACCCGTGTTCTTCTTCACTACATTTGGTGTCGCTGCCTCCACTGAGGATGAAGATCCCATGGCCGAAGGAGTTTGAGGACGGAGATGTGCTGAGCTTCCTGAAGGAGTTTGAGGCCGTGGCGGAGCTGGTGGGGGTGAAGGAGCCGAAGGCGAAGTTGGTGGTGCTGGGGACGCTGCTGAGAGGCAGGGCGAAGGCGGTGTATGACAGCCTGGACGGTGCTGGCGGGAAGACCACATGGGAGGCAGTCACGGAGCGGTTGGCGGCGGAGTTTGACAGCCCAGTGGACAGAGAGGACGCGCTGCAGAAGTTCCGGTTGGCGAGGTTGCCGGTCGATGGGGACCCACTGGTGCTGGCTGTGGAGCTTACCAGATTGCTACGCCGTGCGCTGCCGAGTCTGGATGAGGAGTCGGAGGCACAGTTGTTGGCGTCGCAGTTTATCGAGAGTGTGCCTGCCACCGTCTCCCAACAGCTGAAACTGGTGAACGCAGCGCAACCGATGGATATCAGTGAACTGGCGAAGGTGACTCGTCAGCTGATGACGCGAACAGTAGCTCCGGTCGGGTGCGGAAAGCAGGAGATGAGTAATGTCGAGAAGAAGATTGAGGAGCTGGAGCGCGAGATTGCAGCAATACGAGTGAACAATAAAAGGAACGATAAATGTTACGCTTGTGGAGGGACAGGACATTGGAAGATA